TTAGAAGTAAAGCATTAACTTCAAGCTAGCCTATGAATCAAAGAAGACATTACCATTTGAGAAAAATATGTTGAGCTGAATGGTGATATATATGTTTCCTGTCAAAATTGATGGAATGCAGCTAAGCTTGTATCTAAAGTGAAATGTAGAGGCTAAAATGTAGAAAAGAAGCACACTTGACTTTCACCTGAAGTATTCGTCTCAAGAAATTAAATAAGGCAATTAGAGTCAAACAAAATGTAATGGAAGCAGTAAGAAATTAATTAAGAACAGAAATTAATAAACCAGAAAGCATAACTACTAAGGAGAGGACTGACTCTTCAATTTAAAAGGAACCCTGGAATGGGTTACTCTCAGGAGAAAGATGAGGCTTCCTGCTTCCTCAAAGATGTACAGACTCAGAAACCCTATACAGGGTCTTGAATACATAAATAAATCCTTGAATACAGGGGACACAGTTATGAAACCAAACACCTTGAGGGAATGTGTCACTGGGCCTTGTGCCTCAGGACTGTTGTCTTGGAGGAGTCTGGGTATGACGCTAAAGGATAAGCACTGGTCTGTTAACCATAAGACTGGCAGTTCAAACCCACCAGCCACTCCTTGGAATTCGAACTGACTCAACAGTTAAAATAGTCAGTTGGCACAGTATCATCCACAAAGATGGTGTTCTACATTCTACTTTGATGACTAGTGACTGGGGTCTTAAAAGTGTGTGAGCAGCCATCTAAGGAGGTACGAATCTTGGTTCTTCCAGAAAGGAGTGAAAAAGAGAGAAGAAAAATCAAAGATTCACAGAAACAGTAAGTCCAGTAGTTAACTGGACCACAGTGAGTCCCTGCCTCCACAGCCCTGTGACTGTATGGGGCGTGACTACCACTGATGAGCGCTGTAATTGTTGTTGTTAGGTGCCGACTTGGCACCAACCCATAGCGACCTTATGCACAGCAGAACAACACTGCCCAATCCTGGGCCAGCCTCACCTCTGTTGGCCACGCTTGAGTCCATCAGTGCTGCCACTTGGCCATTCCATCTCGCTGGAGGTCTTCCTCTTTTTCTCTGAAGGATACCAAACATGATATCCTTCTCCAGGGACTGGTCCCTCCTGACAATATGTCTGAAGTATGAGAGATGAAGTTTGGCAAGAAGCATTCTGGCTGCACTTCTTGCAAAACAGATCTATTGGTTCTTTTGGCAGCCCCTGGCACTATCAATATTTTCCTGTAACACCATAACTCAGAAGCATCAGTTCTTCTACGGTGTCCCTTATTCACTGTCC